GCAAGTGTCTCAGAGAGTTGGTCCAGTCCTTCTCAAGGGAGAAGCGGAAGCGGATGGTGACCTGCTTCTCAAGCTCGGCCCTGAGGGACTCGGGAGTAACACTCTCAAAGGAGAAGTCGCCCTCGGGGAAGATCCCACGCAGAGATTCGTCAATCTCAGCCTTGGGGGTAGCGTTAACATCCGAGCCGAGGAGACAGTTCAGCAAGTGAGAAAGGCAAGGAGCGACAAAGGGGGCAGGAACGTTGTTCAGGTAACGGTTGGCAACGTGCTTGAAGGCACGCGTAATCATTTCCTGAACCAGGAGGATGGACAGGGCCTGCAGGCGAGGTCCCTTCTCGGTGGACTGTTGTGCCAACTTTCCGATGTAACGGAGGTTAATACCACGCTTGTGCAGCAGCTGGGTCAGGGATTGACCGTCCATGGGGAAGCCAACGTCGCCGTCGTGCAGGTCCTTGAGCAGGTCGGGGATGACCTTGGATCGCAGGTGATCACAAGCATCCCGGACTTCCTGCTCATCCTTTGCCCATTGCTCCTTCTCCTCCTTAGTCTGGGGCACCTGGCCGCTGAAAACATCGGGGTTGAGGGCAAGGTTGAATCCAGAGATGTCAACACGCTCCTGGTCCGCGGTCTCCTCCTCGGTCTTGCCCTCCTTGGAAGCCTCGGCGCTAGCAGCCTTGCGGCCCTCCACCTCGGCCTTCACGTACTGGCTCATCTTGTGGCGCCAGTAGGACTCGACCAACTCAAGTCGGAGAACGGACATGCGGTGGGGGTAAACATCGCTGCCATCCTCTTCCTGCCACTCGGCATCCAGAGGAGCCACACGGTAGAGATCCAGAACGTACTTACGGCCGTCAGTACCCAAAAGTCCCTTAGTCTCGACGCTACCTTCCAGGTCGTGGCGCTGGTTCTCCTTGTCCCAGACAGGGTGCTGCTTAACACGCAGCGCCTTCGAGAGCTTCTCGAAGACTGGAACAAAGTCGGCGTGGGTGGCTACAACCTCCTTGCCCTCAACACCACCGTAGTCAATCTGGTGCTCACCGGGCTCGCGCTGCTTGAAGATACCAGGAACAATGCTCTGGCCAACAATACGCTTACCCAGGTAGTCAACCACTACAGTTCCAGGGGTGAACAGACCTTCGATATCAAGCTGGTTAACAGCCTTAATACCAAGGACGTCCTTACCCACGGCCACACGTGCGGCTTCGTCGCCACCCTCGGAGGTGAAAGTCCCAACGCCATCGGCGCCGAAAGAGTAGAAGATGTTGTTATAGACAAAGATCTGGGCGTCCCGCGCCTCAGTGGGGTTTAGAGGAGCAACCTCACCCCGGGCGACCAGGACTGCACCGCGAGCGGCGGCCTCGTTGTAATCGGCGAATAGCTTGGAGGTCAAGCGTTCCCGGAACACGCGATCCTGAACGGTCTCGCGGGGCAGCTCGCGGGTGGTCTGGAACTCCTCGTTCCAGTCACGCAGAGTCTCGGCATTATCAACACCAGAGATCAGGTAGTTCTCCTGCGAACGGGTGATATCAGGTTGATGGGCATTCAAGCTCGAAGTGCTGGGGGCAATAAGCCATGGGCTGTTGGGAATAGCGTTCTGGAAGGGGAAGGTGGTCAAAAGATCCTTCTCATTGTTGTACTCCTGCAGAGCCTCGAAGGAGTCGTTGAACGAGGGCGAGAGTTGGGAGATGAGAGTGAGGAGGGAGTGGGCGCTGCCCTTCTTGGGGTGTGTTGGCTTCGGGAATGGGTCGAATCTGATGCTCGAGCACTTGTTCACGAAGAACCCAGAGACGTGGGCAGTGATCTGGAATTGTTCACCTTCGTTAGTAGCAACCACAAGGTAAAGCAAGTGACCCTTCTGGCGGAGGTTGTACGGAACAGGGTTCCATGCAGACAATGAGATGGACTTCACTGTCTTGGGCAGAGGAGCCTGTGCGGTGGGCAGGATAGTCTGCAGCGGTGAAACCCCGGTCAGGTCATATTTGGTGAGGGAGTGTTCCTTCTCCGACTCGCTGGCCTTGAGAGCGTCTGCCGTAATAGTATCGTGCAAGGACAGGCCAGCGGAGATACCATGGAGGTTGTCAACGCGGTCACCAGAAGCACCAATTAGCTCCCTGATGCGCACAGCATGCATGCGGGCCTCCTTCTCGGTGTAGGGATCCTCGACCAGGACGATCTCGGAGTCGGCCTCGAGGTCCGGGACCTCAGACAGCTCGACGAAGTCGTTGATGCGCTTGCCGTTGAACTCGAGGTGGAAGCAAGTGTATTGGAAGGTTCCCGGTAGTTCGACAATAGATTGGCGGACATCCTGGACCTGTTCTTGGCTGGAGACCTAGAAAAAACGAACAGGTCAGATAAAAAAAATTCCTCTTCGTGGCCTTTCGAAATATCAAACCCACCATCACTTGAATCTTATGCGGCGCATGAGGGAGCTTCACGGAGATCTGGAAAAGACCTATAGCCAAATTAGAACGCCGATATACAGTTCTGCGTCCGATTATCCAACATACCACCAGCGTTGTCCTCCTCTGTGCCCTCGGGCGCATTTCCATTGACAATCTCTTGGGAAGCTTGGGGAGCCTCTGTTCCTCCGTTAGCTCGTGTGCCTTTCATCTTGTTTTACCCGGAACCCATGTTCCAATGGACTTTGCCCAGAATGGAGGTTCCAGGGCCAACACACACCTTTCGAGTGCTCCAACTCCCCATTGGTCTGTGCCATTATATCGAGTCGGTTATGAAGAGAGCTTTGACGAAGTAATAACAGTAAACCCTTATCTCACAACCGTCAAGCGAAGAGACAAAAGTTCGGGAAAATGGGACGGGAAAAGAAAAGATTGAGGACCTGCGGGGATGCACCAGGTAGAAATTCTAGTATAGTACTTAAAGATAACAAGGGCAATTGAGCAAGAAACAAAAACCCCGTACCCCAGGAAGTTGAAAATAAGGCAAGGATGAATGGATAGGAGTGAAACTGAGAAACCGGAGAGAAAATTTCTCGGATGCGGCATACCCTCGGAAGTGCTCGGGCGGTGGGATCGGGGAAGGGCGCGGAGAGGTATATTATTCTCCACAATGTCTGCAATTTGACTGCAATTTTTGGAGAAAGATGGTGTAATTAGTTCGGAGTGGTTGTATATAGATTGGAAATACTACTATATTTCCTATGTAGTTCTATATATATAATTTTCATTGCTTTGTTGATATCAATGTCATAGATCTACAAGTATGATGCCTAGGTGCCTCAGGTATCAATGTTTTTTTTTTTCGAATGTGCGTCAACGTGCATTAGCAATTGTGTACACCGTGGCATTTTAGTTATTTCTTTGGCGATAAACTATTTGTACTGGCGAGTTTTGTTTTTAATTGGTCCATATCAATGGGCAGAGGAAGACAAAAATATATATGGTAAGGACGGCTGGATTCCTACAACATATGTTGAACATAAAAGTTAACGGGACTGACACTAATTATACTGCACACTTGACTGAAAAAACGAGCACATCTCCAATGTAGAGATGTAGACAGTGCAGCATTGGATACTAACACTCATGAGTAGACCAATACCCCGGTATAGATCTACTCGGCGCTCTACCTAGCATCGTTCCTCGGTACACTCGAAACGACTTAGGCTGCAGTAAGGCTTTACAAGCAACAGCTTAGTTGAGAGACAGACCGTTGATGTTAGACACCTGAGGAGTATAAGGCAAGTATACCCCACCTAACCTGACTGTGACCAGTTAGTAGTAGCTAAACAAAGCTATATAGTTAAATCCAAAGCCTCCGAGAAAGAGAAAGCGTACCTATAAGGCAGAAGCGCAAGTAGAGAAGCGGCCTAAAAGACTCCGCTTTTGCCGCTATCCGCTTCCGCGCCACAGGCCGTTCGTGTTTCACTTCTTCTTTTCTCCATTCCTATATTGCTTTCGTACGCTAAGGAACATCCCGAATAATACATTACCATTACATAGCTGCACACTTTGACCTGAATATCCAGCACGTAGTAACTGATTGTAATGTACCGTAACCACTATGTTTACGTTTGTATATACGACTAAATTCAGAGCTGTCGCGGGATTGGCTTCCTTCATCGCATGAAGACTCTGAGGCGTCCAGTCGTCTTTCGAGTACAGATGGAACCCCTGAGACTGGGATCTACACTCACCGGACGAGGGTCCGTCAGAAAGGCTTCTTTTGATGAAATTCTGATGGATTATTGAAGAAAAAGAGATGGATGAGATCACGCCTGGATTCTTAGGAAACTAGAAGCTAAACTATAGAAGGAAGTCGGGACTCGTCCCCCCTCCTTCCGGCGGATTCAATTCTGCCGGTAGATCGGATGCCCTGGGAAGGCTAGTCAGCCGACCCCTTATAGATATAGGAAGGCCTTCAACCGAGCAAGATCTAGCTGGTGGGCCTACTTTCGGTGCTTACACGTGCTTCTTCCTTTTGTACCTGCGACTCCCTGAGACATTTGGGTTAAGTTACTTGGAAATTGATATCTTGTTTTGAAAAGAAGGCTAAAACTACGTAGCCAATAGACGGTATTTCAGTGTACCAGATGAGGTTCAAAAACAGCCGGCCATGCGGTGATGAATAACGGCATCTTTGAAAGACTCTTTTTTTTTTTTTTTTTTTTTTTTGACAGCAACGTTGCGGTGAATTGCACCATGCATACTTGCATACTCTTACTATTACGATTGGTTTGTTTAGGTTCTTTCCTAGGTTTTGTCAGCATTCCAGTGTATTGAATGAAAATAACAGGCAGCCTTCTGCACCCGAGGGGTACTACAATTGTCAGCTATGCATAATAGAGGGGACTTACTCCTCAGGCAGTAGAACTTAAGCTGCCAGTCCATGGGGTTGATGTCTTAATGCCTTCTGATAGAAATTGACGTAATCACCACCAAATCTGTCTCTAGTACTTTTCTTTAGAGATTCTGGATTGTTCCTGTTCTTTTTCCTCACGATCCTTTCCTCTATCTTTCGCTGCCCAGTCCGCAAGAAAAATGGCAGAGGCATTCCCAAGTCCTCCCCTCTCTCGCGGGCCGCCAAGCCCACATAAGCGACGCCGCCTCCTTCGGGATTCGGAGGATAATGAAGGCGATATGGACATCGAGCAATACCTACATCGCACCGACCCATATCGAAGCATCAGCTTCCCAAACCCCGATCCGACGGCCCTCAAAGTCACCACTATAACCGCTGATGAAGATCCTACACTACATCTACACAGTGAGATCTACAGCACCCTCGACCAGTATGGTCTCCCAGCGAAGTCGCTTTTCCATGTGGTGAATGCAACCATCCCCGGCGCTAGCTTTCCTCTACTTCGCGTTGTTATTGCGGGTGAACCTTCGGCTTCGGCTTCGATACCTCTAGGGTCTATCAAAGACGATCTCATTACCCTTCTCAACTACCATACCCTTTCACAGATCCAGGTAGAGGTGATCAACGGCGACCATTTCTATATCCCTACTCTGTTCCCAATCGAGTCAACAGACCAGCTTGCTATCGCGTTCTACCATCTTAAGGATAATATCGTCTGGCTTCTAGACAAGGCTCTTGGAACCAGATGGCAACTTGTCTCTCCATTCAATGTTGGCAAGGATTCCCGTTCTGCGCATGCAGCCCTTGTTATTGGTGTTCTACCATCAACACAGGCAAACTGGTTCCAGCTTCAAGCTCACCTAATGTACCAGCTTTCATCGCACAACCCGCCACTTTTTCCAGACATCGAGTTTCTCGCTGGGAAACTCAGCCTCCTCGCGAAAAGTAATCCAGTCTCATTTAAGGATCGTATCGAAGGTACTAGGGAGATTCAGATGGGTTCCTCAATCGGAATTCGAGGAGATAACAACGCTGGTACTTTAGGGGGCTTTGTCGAGGTTACATTTGATAGTGAGGTGCACCGTGGCCTCCTAACGAACTACCATATCGTGCGACCCTCCCCCCCATATAATGACCTCGATACAATCGACCGTAAGGGCATATCTCCTGTCTCGTCTCCTATCTCGTCTCCTGTCTCGTCTGTTCCCTTACAGGGGGCAATCACTATGGAATCTCTCGCCCAGATAGACTGTGACTATACTTTAGGCGATCTTGACGACCAGCTACGAGCCCTAGAGAGCCAGAGGGATCGGGTCGTAGAGTCTATCCAGAAACGACAGCTCGTTGGCGAGGAACCCCGCCCATCCTCCCAGCAGCAGCTTGAGGCTATTCAAACCTGGGAGAGAAAGCTGATTGCGGCGCGCCCAGCAATCCAGGCGATGCCATACGTTCTGGGTCACGTTCATTCTGCGTCCGGCTTCCTAGTCAATAGAGGACGTGTTATTGATTGGGCTTTCGTCAAGCTGACTCCGGAGGCTGAGAGCCGCTTCTTTAGGGCCAACCAAATGCCCGAGGTCCCAAAGAACCAGATGCCTCGAAGCAGCCCCTCCGGTCCACCTCCGGCTCTAGTTGCAGCAGGGACCCGCCTGGATGAATTTAGCTCTTTACAGAAAGGCACATACTATATCAAACAAGGCCGCACCACCAACGTGACAGGTGGTGTGTGCAACGGCGTGGTGGCTGTTTGCAACTGGCAGACGCGATACGATATCAATGGCAACACGGTCAACGGCAAAGATCTTCGTACGGAGGAGTTCATGATTGTAGGTGTTCATGGATCCTTTATTGAATCTGGTGACTGTGGCTCATTTGTCGTGGATTCGACCGGGGCCGTTGCGGGTCTCATATTCGCCGAGTACGAACACAACTTCCAGGCTGTCGCACTTGCATTACCAATCCCAGATCTTATAGACACAATGAAGGCTCGACTCAAGGCTCCAGTCTCTGTACGCCTGCCATAACTTCCTTGCTTCGACAACAACAACATTGAGGCGACCATACAAAACCCCGCTGGCCTGGGTCCCGACCGCCATCGATTCGACCTCGTACCAGCACTTTGTCTTCTGTTTTCTTCCTTTGCGTTTGGCGTTTTGCGTCTTGCTTTTTGCTGACTTTAACCCGCGCTGGCGCCCCTATGACCGTCCACTCAACCTCATGCTGTCTATCATTTGCTATGAGCGACGACCCAACTTTGTTGTTCTTCGATCAGTTCCTATGACCGGCGACCCAACTTCCCCCGTATCTTTTATGTATCTAGTCTGTCCGACCACAACGAGGTCGCTTGACACCTTGGACCAGTCAGGTGGCCACCTGACCCCGTCGCCGCCCCTTCAGGGCCGTAGGTAACTAGATAATACATTATCTTACCTTTCCCTTTGCTTTCTTCGGCATGCTCCTACAGAGGGAGGGCGGCTCACGAGAACAGATTGAGAATCTAGAGAATACGTAAATACAGCCTCACGTCGACCCGGGGGCTTTGACATTGACGAAGCTGGTGTGTTCTAATAGCTTAGGGAGTTTCCTCTTCGGAACAAAATTTAATTTGGCTGCGACGAGGTTATCTATAATAACCCGTCTAATCCTAGGAAGCAAAAAGTATAGGCTCTCACCGTTGTAGAATTGGCAGAGAAGCAGTAGCGTCATCTCGATCGGGTTTTCTATAAGATACAAAAACCCACAGAATCCGAGGAAGGAGTGGATTACCGAATACACCCAAACAGTCTGTTATAGTGGTTCGTAGATCCTGATGATCTACGTGCTAAACCACCAACGCCTCTACGCCGACGCTAACCATCTAAGAGAACTCAATCGAAAAAGGATCGATTAGAATCAGATCAAATGACTCCGGCTAAAGCGTCCTGGCATTTATTTTTCAGATAGGAGGAAGCTAGGATGGAAATGGAACGGGACCACGAGCGACGCAAATAGTAAGGACAGAAATTCATTCGTCTTCCGATGGAGCCAAGATCCCCTACCGAGCATTCTACCTCCTATAACACTCCGCTGCCGGGACCTGGTTCGCCAATCAGTCCTATGGAAACGCCGTGCCCGGATAGAAACCGTGATGAGGGCGGCAGAGAAATCCCGCTACCGGGGTCTTCTTCCAGTGCAAAGAGAGCTTCAGATGGAGACACGCAACCGACATAGACTCCTAAGAACCGAAAGGTCCGGAATCGGCCACGGGGAGGCTCGAGTGCTGGGGGCAATAGACGCGAGCCAGAGGCAAGCGTTGCTACTGAACCTGAACGATCGGCTGCGGAGGATTCGGACCTATACGATCCAACGCCAGGCATTGACCGTCGAACTGGCGTCCGTCTAATCTATTCCGTTAGAACCAGAGCATCATCCACCCTAACAGAAAAGGTCCGGAATCAACCACGAGGAGGCTCGAATGCTAGGGGTAAGGGACACGAACCGGAAGGAAGCGTTACTACTGAACCGAGCGATCGATTGTGGAGGATTCAAGTCCACATAATCCAACACCAGACATTAGCCGTCGAACAGCTGTCTCGCCATTCCGTTCCGTTGGAACCAGAGCATCATCAGTCCCGATAGAGAAGCTCCTGAAGGATCCCGTCCAGAGCATCTCCAAGTGAATCCGAGATCAAATTGAGAATGCGAGACGCCGCACCTTCAACCTGGATTTCTATGACCTTCATTACAGACTGGGACAGTCTTAGGGAAACTGAGCTTCGAGATACAGCCCCCACGAGAGGCAGGCCCTAAGTGAAGAATTCTCGCGCAGGGAAGAGACAGGAGAGGGCTACGGACACGTCCGTGTGGAGCGCACTTCCGACGCAACCAAAAGAGGAGAAGCCATCAATATGGCCCGGAACATGACTGATAGGGATCCGTTTCGTCATCTCGAGTACGTTCAGGGTGAATCCGGGGCATACAACCCCCACAAAGCCGACGCGATGCGAGAGGAAGTTGCACGTCGCGCTGAAGAGAATGATGGGGAATGGTGGTGAGACGCTGTACACGAGTTTCTAATGCGTCACAGGGATGTCCTAACAGGTCGGGGACGACCTGCCACTTGATGGGGGATGTTGTGCAGCAAGGAAATGGAATCATCATGGAGGAAAGATATTTTTTGGATACTGGTTATGCCAGCAGAAACAGTCCGCCGCCGGAAGGAGGGAGCCGCCTTCCATAATATTTCCATAATACTTACATTCCAAGGTTCATAGGTACCTACCTTCTTAGGAAATTCAGACCTCTCCTATTCCATCACGTTCATGACGTTATCCATCAATATTCATCCCCAGGAGTTAGTTTCTGAAGGAATCAGCATAATAAGGTGTAAACCCAGCACCGAGGATCTCACCATATACTCCCTGGACACCTCAGGCAGGAGATATGACGAAGCGAAAGGAAGTCGATTCAAAGCCGGAGTCTGAAACCGACCGGCGACAACAGGCCCAAAAGGCCAAGATCCTTGCGAATATCGCGGAGAAACTTTTCAATGACGTCGTCGTATCTGTCCAGCAAGGAAATTCCAAAGGCCTCTGGGAGCTCGGTCTCCAGGCTCTTGAGCAGGCAAACGAGTTTTCATTGATTCAGAAGGCTGGGCCCATCGAAACGCTTCCCATTGGTGAGGCGGCCAGGTTTGACATAATCAATGGCTTCGGACTGCAAGAGCAAGGCGAAGAATCCCTTGAACTTCAACCGTGGCCCCCATGCTACGAAGACGAGGCCTTAATTTAGAACGGCAGAAAAATTAAAATACCTGAATTACTATTACATGTGCCTTAGTAATCCAAGTACCCTGCCCGCCTGATTCTGCTGGCGGTTGCAAGTCCAAAAAATGAAGCTTTTGACCTCCATACAAATCAGGTATCTCCATTTTTTTGGACTTGCAACCGCCATGAAATGTACATTCAATTCTCAGATTCAATTCAGGTTCAATTCAGATTCACTTCAGGTTCAGATTCAATTCAGATTCAATTCAGATTCAATTCAGATTCACTTCAGATTCACTTCAGATTCACTTCAGATTCACTTCAAATTCAGATTCAATTCAGATTCAATTCACTTTAGAAGTCCCTATAGAGATACCTAGATTTGTATGTAGGCAGGTTGATGTATTAAGAATTTACAGTATACTGTATTAGGGCGGTGTATAAAGCGGTACTAATTCGGGTATCCAGGCATCAACACCCTCCCCAAAAGGGGCTTTGACCCCGGGGCCCCTATACGTCTTCGTACCTATGCCCACTTCCGACGGTAGAGCTGCCTGACTCTGCCCGTAAGTCATTCCCGAATCCTAGAGATTTCTCTAAGCGGCTTGATGCTTTTATTAGGCTGGAACTAATAACCAATAGAGAAAACGATTGAAATCACCAATAAGTATTTACGCCTTTCAACACAGAATGAAGCAGCTGCACGCTGTATCATTAACAATATTCTATTCGCTCTGTTAGATACAGTTGTGCCGCATCCAAACAATGGCCACTGGCCATTAAATCTTCAGATGGAGACCTCGCTAACCTCTCGTCCGTTCCCCCTAAGGGGGAAGGTGTACCAAGCAAAGGGCACCTACGATTATATATTGTGGTACGGAGATAAGGGCGGCGCAGATAAGGCTATTAACTTAGTCCTTGTTGAGGCGAAGAAGCTAGGCCTTACTAGCCAAGGTGACGACTAGGCCTTAGGATATATAGGTAAGTCTTTATAGACTTCTGTTAGAAAAGCTCTTTACTAACTAAAAGTTCTATTTCTAGCCTATGTTTACTAAGAGAGAAGGACCTAGCCTTCTCGGAACTCTATAGTTTACGGTCTAAGTACCGATAACGAGGAGTTCCGTTTTCTTCGGATTAACGAAAGGAGCGAGGTATATTAATAAATTCCGAAATCTCGCAGAACTACCTAGCTAATGTTAACAGTTCACCAAAGTTCTCATGACGAAAACGCCTGGTGGGAATTACTCTCATATCACGAGTATGATTGCTTTTATTATGAGGGAGGCGGTTTCCCAGTCGCCTTACACGTCTAGGAATACTTCAAAGGATGTGTCCATGGAAGATGACCCCGTGACTCTTCCCCCGATGTGTAGGATACTTTCTATTTCTCTAGGAGAATTTTTAGCTTGCCTTCAGACAAAACCTTTACGTTCTTTTTCACCTTAATTCCCTCGATTTCGAGATGATATGGCTCCGAGGGAAGTCCAAGATGTGAGACACTGTGACGATTCTGTCTTTCGATTCTGCCGTTCTTGACCGCTTGCCGAGTTTTCTGTCAAGAGTTTCCCGCCTTTGGGAGAAGTTTGCTCATGACACCACCCCACAACACTTATTGTCTCGTCTTATAGATTTCTTTTCTTCTTTTCTTCTTTTCTTCTTTTATTCGTACTCCCTATACTTAGTATTCTCGTTAAATATACTCTTTTGCTTTAAAGATCTAGCTAGTAATATAATGACCATTTTTTTCCCTCATGGATCCACCGTCTTCCACACGGACCTTGAAAAAACCAATAGAAAAAAAATCCTCCATATATTTTAATAAAATACTTCAGACAAAGTGGAGAGTTGAACTGCCGATAATCACTCACTCCCCCGTAAATAATATGATGGAAGATCCATGTACAACAATGTTCCTAATTCGATCGCCAAGCCTTCTGCATCCCTGGTTCATTGAGGCTGAGGCCACCACCACAAAACTTAGCCACGATCTTAATTTTTTTCTTGGTCTCTCTTGTTTCTTTTAGTCTTTCATTAACTTCTTTTGTTTATTTATTTCCCTTTTCGATATTCAGTCTCTTTCATCCGACCAGTTTCCTAGAGTCTCTCTTTCACCAGTGACGCGTCATTCCCTGGAGGTGTGGCTTACCTTGCGTGAACCATCTCTCCAAGTCTAGAATCCTAGCAGTACACTCCTTAAACCTTTGATTTATACAAGCCCTACACAGACTGTTTGGGGTTCTGATTATCTTTGACGGATATATACATTCTCATTCTTCATTACCCACCTTTTACTGAAGGACTTGGCATCCCAGCATACAAACGCTAAGAAGCCCAACCACGATGCTATGGAGCCGACTCGTACAGCCGGCGAGGTACTATGCCCGACAGGGTCTGCCAAGGCCTCTCAGGACTAACAGCCGCGTGGTGATGCTTACACCCAAGCGGTTCAACTCAAACCCCCAGAACACTGGTCAAATGACCCCAGACCCCACCGATCAGAATGATTCGGATGATGGAAAGGGCAAGGGTCAAGACCGTAACGGCGATTCAGAACCCAACTTCAAATCTACGATTCTGAAGATGCTTGAATCTGCGGCGACCACGGCGGCATCAATTGGTATTCTAGGGTAAGATTTACCTATATTATTCAAATCGTGCATTGCTGAGGCTAATTTGCCCCCAAGCGCGGCGGGATACTGGTACCACCAGTACTACAAGTATTTGATCTTGGACAAGATGGACAATGCATTCAACCCAGGTGATCCTGCCCTTGAGGTCGCGGGTGTTGTTTCTGGAAAGCACAAGTACCGCCATGAGGAACATTGGGTCGTTCGCAACGAGCAACCCAAGATCGACGATATTGTAGCTGGGAAACAAAGTGGCCACTACTATCTAATGATTGGTGAGAAGGGCACGGGCAAGACTTCGATGCTTTTGGAAGCCATGCGCAAGATTAATGGAAACAGCTGTGCCTTGTTCGAAGCGCATGCTGATCTCGAAATCTTCCGAATCCGACTGGGTAAAGCTTTGGACTTCGAGTTCCACGAGGAGTAAGCTTATATTGTCATCACGATAAGAGCATAAGCGCTAATAATGCCCAGCTATGTCGGCAGCCTTTTCAGCATCCGTGGACCAAGAGACACCACAGCTCTCTTGGACATCGAGCGCGCCTTCAACAAGCTAGAGAAAGTGGCTCTCAACAGAAGGAAGAGTGGATCAACTCCTCTTATTCTGATCATCAACAGTACCCATTTAGTCCGAGACGACCACGACGGACAGGATTTGCTTGAGATGATCCAGCAGCGTGCCGAGCAATGGGCTGCTAGTGGTCTCGTTACAACAAGTAAGACTTGGGTAGGCATTTTCCCTTCATTTCATGGGCTAACTTTGTTGCTTTCAAGTCCTGAACAGCGATGACTATTGGGTATACGAGCGCTTGAAGCGTTATGCAACCCGCATGGAGGTTATTCCTGTGACAGACCTGCCCAAGGACAAGGCGATGGGTGCTTTGAAGAAATATCGCCAGCAATTCCACAACGAGATACTTCCATCTGCGGTCCTCGAGCAAGTCTATGACAAAGTTGGTGGACGACTATCCTTCTTGAACCGCGTGGCCAAGTCTCAGGATATCACGAGAACCTGCGATGAGATCTGTCAAGCCGAGAAAACCTGGTTCCTAAACAAGTGCTGGATCCTCGGAATGGAGATGGATGATGATGTGATGGACCAACAGAAGTACGCTGTAAGTACACACTATATGATCTTCTGGTTCGTGTTCCTTCGATAGAACTCACGCTAATTTATACCACAACAATAGTCTGCCGCTATGGTTATGGCGAAAGCGCTGGTAGACAAAGAGAAAGAGATGGAGTCAAACTACCATGAAGAGCAAGGCCACATCCTGCCACAGATTCCGCTCCACGAAGCGCGCGAGATCATGACCCGTGCGGACTTTATCCAATCTTACGATCATGAAAATATCTTCACTATTGATTCGCGAGCCATGGTGCGTGCCGATTCAGTACCTATGCAGCGTGCCTTCCAAGAAATCTGCGCTATAGAGAACTTCGACAAGCACTTGGACGGCACATTGCAGCGCATTGGAGACATTGAAAGTCTTGGTCGTACTCGCGAATTGACTATCAAAGATCTCTGGGATAGTGGCAAGTATCGCGTTGTTGTACGGGACAACCGCGGACGAGAGAGTGGAACAGTTGAATTTGCTGTGGCAGAACGGGAAGGTGAAGGTGACGGTGAAGATTAATGATTTTGTATAGTATGTTATAACTCAATCCATGGATGAGATATCCTACTGTAATTGCAAATATAAATAACTATGTTATGTGGTACTCCGTACACTCCGTATACAGGGAGACCTCGGACATCGAGTCGCCGAGTCAGCAATAGTGACATCATCGTATGCTCACCGCTAACCAAACATTCCACCTTCACTTTTTCTCTCCTCCAAGATTCCACCGAGGGAAAGCAATTACTAGTGATTTTTGTTCTAAACTCTGCATTGCAGTCACCCTAATCTTCAAATTTGGAAGCCTCAAAATGCCGACTAGGACTCCTAAGAAGCGAACTGTGTCGTGGAGCGATAGTACGCGACCTGCGCGCGAGCTTGCGATGACGGCCACTGCACAGACCTCTCGGTTGGCGTGCATCCCATCTCCAGCCCGTTTCATCCTTGTTGTCCTGAGCAGTCTCATTGCGAGCTCTGTTCTGTTCACCCTCACATCCACCTTGACATTGGGTGACCTCGGGCCTATCAGCAAACACCTCGAAGAATGGTGGGAAGTGGGGGGCTTGATAGCCTGGAGGGCTGTGGAGATCGGATTAGCCTGGGTTCTGGGATTTGATGGTAAGTATCAGTTACCCTACACATGGTCCCTTGCGTCCGGACACGAGGTTCCTACAGCTATGTATAGAGACTAACCTTTTGGTTGCAATCAGGCCGTGATGTGGCATCGTTCTTATTCCTGACCCACCTGCCAACATACTCTCTCTTGTCGTTCTTCTACGGTATCCGCCCGACTTCTGCATTGATAGCATTTGGGGTCACGATCGTGTCAACGGCGCTTCCCTTCGCCCTCCTACGCCGGCCCTCGTCCGTCCACAACCTCTCGAAGACGCCTGCTGATGCAGTTGCCAATCGAAACATTCTACAGGACAAGATTACCACTATCTTCACGACGCTCCTGGCAACCTCAATTTTCAGCGTTGTACTGTACGCCAGCTATGCGACTTGGCTTCCTACCCAGCTGGTCATTCACTTCGAGGGTCTCCCGGATATCAGCGCGGCGCACGCTGGTCCCGCCGGCTTGCCTGTCCTCTTCCTGACGCTGATTCCTGCTGGTTTGGCTGCGCGCGACTTTTTATTTGTCAGCTCCACTGGCTATTCAACCACCCCCGCGGGGTCTGCAAGCTGTTGTGAGGGTGAATATTTGGCTGTGTCCATTTGTCGCAACACTTGGGGCAAATTGACCACCAAGACAAGAGTCTTGGTTTCTCGGTCCATTATTCTTGCGCTTGGAGTCCTGCTCAACACGATTGTTCAAGTGGCCGGTACAATCAGCGATGTCTCTATTGAAGGTGCCGCCACTTGGGGAGCAGTCTGGGCATTTGCGACGCTGATCGCAGGAGCAACCTTCGGCTGGATCGAAGCCGTTGATGGTGTATGATATTATGCGTGATAGCGACAGCATGGGGGATGTGTGCTCCCAGGTTTATTTTCGTTTCAGCTGCGCCGGGTGCGTGAGAGGTAGATACAGTGACACCCTCATATCCAGTATCCTATTTCTTATGGTGCGCTTGATTGTAATATCTCTGCTGGTTTTCTTGCAAGTACGATATATACCTTCTGATCGGCCGCGCGGACTCTAAAATTTCTGTTTTTTAACCTTTTTTTTTTTCCCAACAGCCAAGGATTGCTCTTTCTTACTTGGAATGGTTCATTAATTAC